TGACATTTCTCTGAAAATACGTTTCAATAAAGGAAAAATATTTTTAAGTAACAATTTAGTCATCCCAAACATTAATCTTGATTAAGATTCAAAAAAGATGTTACTAATCCCTAAAAAAAATAATCCATTTGAAAGCAGAATCATTACGACTTAAAATTTTGGGAATATCCTATTGTTCTCAAAACTTCAAATTTCTTGAGGTTCGAAACGGTACGATTCACAAATAAGAAAGTAGCCACAGATTTCTGTCGATTTCTTACAATTTTACTACCTGTTTTTCTAGAAAAACTTAAGATTCTTTCTAGAATTTTTTTTAACAATGTATTGTTGGCTGTATAAGAAAAGTTAAAAACTTAAATGGAAAATCAAAATTCAAAAGGAACATATTTCTTATATTTATAAAAAATATTAAAACAAAATATTAAAACAAATGGATTTAAAAGAAGATTATAAAGAAGCTATTGTATGATAAAAATAACACGACTTTTAATATTTTCTAAAAAAAAAATATTTATGATTTTTTCTAAAGGATAACAAAAACTTGTGATGATGAACAATTGTTGAAATCAACTACAAAGATAAGAAAATTTTGAGTTATTATAGGTATTGAACATATATGTAATATAAAAAATAAAAATATATATATATATATATATATATATATATATATATATTAAATTAATAACATAAATTATTATTATTGATTATTCTATGTGTGAACATAAAATATGAAACATTGCAGTATTATAATTTAATTTAAAAATATAAACAAAAATGTTCTAATTTTTTATTTTCAATCATTAACAATAGTGGCAGTGATATAGATTTTTTATTAATGAATATAAAATATATAAGTATAAAACATACAAATTGATAACTGAAAATTTTGAAAAATACTGCTACTGCTATATTCCGAAACAGATCTTAAAATACATTTTCGATTATTATCCACATTATTAATGTTCTATCAAACTATTCTACAAACATTTGTCATTCTATAAAACATCTTTCGAAGGCGTCATATAATCATAATGACATTTGTCTGATAAACATGCGAATTTGTGCTGAATTAAGAAACTCGCCCTAGATTATCAAATTAATTGTGCTGTTACTGGATCTATTTGATTTGGAAAATTGCGTTTTATGCGTACTAAACTTACATTGAATGATTCATCTAATTTAATAACTTTAAATTATTTTTATGAAATATTTTATATTAAAATAAAATCTCAAAATTACAAATATAAGAAAATTATTACATATAATATACAATAGTATATTATGCAATTGTATATAGATCTTGTGTAAATGTTACTTTTAAAAGTTATTTTCAAAATTGGAGATAATATCCAAGTTGTTAAATTGGATGAATTATCTTATATAATTTTATGAATTTACTTTTACTCTTCGATTATTTGCTCACATATGAGATGTTAAATCCTCATGTTTAGCAATTTACATAATATTTTTATCAGAATTTTATTTCTTTTCAATGACATTTATTTCTATCGAATACATTGTCTATACCAAACAGATCGCTGTTGTACATAAATATCAGCGGGAAAACTAAAGATGAAACTTAAGCTGAAAAGAACAAAATGTCAAGTGTTTCAATTTGCATTATGAAGAAATTTTTCAATTTTTATCTGCATTTGAAAAAATTTCTATAAATAATAAGTCGATATGTTTTTTATATGATCTATTACATTCGATATGAACGTACACATGCTCAAAATCTTAATATTATTAATCAATTTTTAGCGCAAATAGAATCTTTTTATTGATGTTTTTTATTATATACTTATTCTTTATTGTTACGATCATTCTTGGAATCTTAAGTATTAGCTTGTACTTAACCAAGGATGAAATTTATATTTAGTTATTACGTATATTATGAGAATGTATGGGAAAGGATTTCTTAATTATAAATCATTTTTATTTTGTACAATATGAAAGAAGCTTCTCTCTATTTTTTAATTTTATCCTGCGTTTATATTTAAAATAATGAATCGCAAATCGACAAAATATTTCACTATTTTATCGGAGAGGAGAATATATACAAATATACTTATTATTCGTAACGGGAAATTAGCGACAATAATCGAATTCGAGTTTGAGAACTAATACGAGCGTCAGCATATTGGCAAAAACTTACGGATGTTTTTAATGTGAATTTGCATTGTGAACAAACTATATCTTCCAGAAGAAGCCAATAGGATTCGCTTGTTACAGCGCTTAAAGCTTCCTCTCGTCTCCCTAGAATAATACTCTAAGATAAGTCAGTAAAATGCGCTAAGAACGCGAGACTGCCGTGCCTCCTGTCCCACGTACAAATCCGCTTCCGGGTTGTTTTCCATTCGACGATCGCTTTATAGGACGACCGTGCCTCTGCGATGATATAAAAATCAAAAATCGAAGCCTAATGCTGAGCGTATATTTTGTGTAACGTAACATTTATAACTATGTCACTAGAAATAATCACTGCGACAATAGCGACTTAGACTACCATGACAAGCAATTATGGGAACGTCCCAAATCTACCCCAACTTATATTTTTAGCGTAGTGAGATTAGCGGATAGTCTTGCCTCGTCGCGAGGCCGACCCCCCCCTTTTTTTTACTGTATGACACTTGTCTGCATCTCGTGTTGTCTTATCGCGTGTATGTTGAGATGAAAGTGCAATCAAATTTAGATCGATACCTTTGGCATCGATGATTGTTTGCAATTTAGAAGATAAATAGTTAATATTCGTCTGCAAATGGATTATGATCAAGTCTACCATTAGTAACAGTCGAAGACATAAATATTCGTAGCGAGAATAAAAAACATGACGCAGGCGGATTGTTACTCAATGTAAGCATGAGAGTATTTACAAGTATAACTTGGTTTTTTTGTCAAACGCATTTTATATAAAAAAAAAGAAGAAGGAAAAAGCGACGCGTCCAAGTAAATCGCAATTTTCTCTACGGCGATACATAACGTTTTCGTGTGTTGAGGATTTGGAAGAATAGACGCATAGTGCCTTTTCTCCGGGACTTATTCACACCATCGTCATTATTTGAATTCACGTGTTAGGGAGGCACACCGGCACATAAATAAGAAAAAAAAAAACATTGACATAAGTTAAGTAATACTTATAAGTAAGATGGCGTTTATTTCATTTTCTTTCCATTACGAGGAGAGTGAACGTTCGATTGCCACACTGCCTCTACAGCAGCTGTTTTAGACTACTTTTATACTGTTGATGTCACGCGCAGCTAATCAGAGTCTGTATATTACTGCCATAATTATATATGAAACGAAATGTATACTCAATATACCTTTATAAATAAAACACGACCAAAAAAAAAAAATACAGGTCGATTTATTATTGCGTTCGATGAATATTGATTTCTTTGCGTAAGATTCGCTGGGACGAACCAAGAATAAATTGACATTGTGCATCGTGACATTGTGATTCATAAAATTCATAATGCCGTTCAAACGACGATGTTATTTATAATGTGTTTTCTCAGACGACAACGTTGGGGTGACCTGGAATATCAACGGCGCGCATTTCTTTCTGCCCACCTAAGGTTGCCGAGTTCCTGCTCGAATGCAGGCGGTTCGCCTTGCCGGATCGCGCCGCGCCCGTGTTACGGCCAACGATAATAATGGCTAGCGAACCGGCTCGACTTCGTTGCATTTTTATTTCCTCGCCCTTGCCGACCTCTGCCTCCTCGCGCACACGATGGCATGGTGCATTCGCATTATCACTCGCGAGTCTGGATAATAAGATAATCGCTCCTTTGTCTCTCCTTTCTTCCGTTTCTGCCGGTAATCGTTGTCTTTCACGGAAGAAGACGGGGACGAAACGCTACTTTTATGGCATTTTAGAGTGTTGTAATTATATTTGAATATAGACGTATTGCGTTTGGACTGCGAGTAAAAAAGAATGTCGATAGAGACACTTTATAAAGTATCAGTATTACTATTTTACGTTGCTCAGAAGGATATTTAATGAGAAGAGAATATTGAAACGTGCCTTCTCAATTTGTTCACGTGAAATAATATATTAAAATCAAATTGATTTTATAATACTTGTATCAATTAAATTTAATTACAATTATGAGTTAGATTAAGATGCATGACAGAATAAAGACATTTCTCATTGCATTTCTTATATAAATATATGTATATCGGGCGTATCTCACATTTCCTTTATCGTGGGATTCTCAATTGCAACATCATGGAGAACGCAAAGGTTACCGGATGAAAGTAAACCGATCCTATGGAACACGTGATTGTGCTCGCATTTGTACGGAAAATTGCTAGACATAGTATATTCCACGAACGAAAAATTATTCGACTCTACATAGTTCATAGAGATAATGAGAATAGAAGTAAAACTTGTACTCATATATTATATGTTAGTATGTTTTTTATATATATATATA